CATGCTTTCCCCATGCTTGCAAACCACCTGCAGCCCCAGACAGACCGAGGCTGCAAGCTCGCTTCAGAGCCGTCGTATTCTGCAGCCCATGGAGAGTTCTACACCAGTCTCCCACTCCATTAAAACTGTTGTTTTAAGCACACGTTTTTGTGAATAACACCTCTGAAATAACTCCTTGTACCATCCATGTGCAAGGGCAGAAGGACACTTTCTGTGCACTTTCATAGATCAGCAAACTATGTTTTCACATGTGAGAGTTTGTAAATCTACATTCCCTGCAATGTGTATTTGGCACCTTTGCATTATATTAATAATACAACAGCAGAAGCAGCAACAACAAGCATCTATATAGGAATTTTGAATGTTCGGGTGTGCTGCACAGCCATTATCTTTTTTGAAAATATAGCCTTATAGTCTCCAATATATAACAGTTACAAAAAAGTGGGGGGCAAATGCAAACACAAAATCCCAACTCCCCACCCCCACCCCGGATGGATAAATTTATTTAAGTTTGCCAACGTTGAATCTGTGATTTTGGTAGTTGCCATTCTTCAGGGTTATCAATAAAAATCCTTATAAAAGGATGCCATATTTCAACAAAACCATCTACATCACATCTATTATTGTGTTGCAATCCGTACAACTCTTAAAGGTAGGTCAGTCTTATCCTCTCCATATTGCAAATGGAGGCTGAAGCAGAAGAGAGTGACTTGTGAACAGCCAACTAGTGAGATCATGCCAGGGGTGAGGTTTGGTTTTGTCCCCGTACACTTCAGCAGTGATGGTCAAACTTGGCCCTCCAGCTGTTTTTGGACTACAACTCCCATCATCCCTAGTTAACAGGACCAGTGGCTAGGGATGATGGGAATTGTAGTCCCAAAACAGCTGGAGGGCCAAGTTTGGCCACCACTGCACTTCAGTCTCTTTTTGGCAGCAAACTCCACTGAACTCAACTGAACTTACTTCTGGGTAAGTATTGCAGTGCACACCTCTAAGTTTCACAAGCTCTCTATCCTACATTAGCAGAATTCACAGATGACACAAATAATACAACGGTGGATTTAAAGCCATGTGGCTCTTCTCTGCTGCCTGAATTTGACCACATCCATCACAACGTCTTGATTATGTTCTGTTAGGTCTTATAATAAGTTGCCTTTGGCTATATTTTTAGAGAGCCTGACCAGGAACTTTAAATCTGTTTAAATTCTTAGATTGCCACACAATAGATAATTACATCAGTAACAATACCCACACCAATGTGATTAAAAAGAGCAAAAGGAACTTGCCACACAGGGATTTTTTCCCTTTCCTAATACGTGTACACACACACACACACACACACACACACACACACACTGCTACAAAGGAGGACAATGCTATTTTTATCCCCACTTGTTAGTCAGGAAACTGATACCCAGAAAGGACAGAAAATGAAAAGAATTTAGCAGGGGAAGGGGGGGGGCTTTGTACACATACACACTTCTTTTAAGCAAGCAGACTGTTTTACTGGATCAACCTTGGCTAAATGGTCCCGCAAGGGGTCAACTCAAGGCTGGCATGCTTTCTGCTGCCCAGCACATGAAAGTAATCAGCAGAGGGGTAGGGGCTGAGCATGAACAGAAGCATACCTTTGAAATTACCTTGACTGGTTGGCAAGGAAGGGAAAGTGGAGAACAGCCTTCTCATTTTCACAGACAGATAGTAGTTAAAGAGAAAATTCAGCACCAGCTGCTGTCCAGTCCTACCCACTCCCTGATGCATCTCTCCCTCCTTTGGTCAATGGCCTGGTTGTTGTTGGGTTTTTTTAAATAATAATAATAATAATAATAATAATAATAATTACCTGCACTTTGTACAGCCACCCCATGATAAGAATTCTCTGCGTGGCTCACAAAGCCTAACATTAAAATGCAGTGTGAAATAAAAACAGTAACAAAAGAATAAAAAAACTGAAACGCAATTTAAAACTCAGTTTACGACAGTCTGGAGGGCACCACATTGACTACTCTACATGTTTGGTCAGGCTTCCCCAACCAGGTGCCCTCCAAGGAGTTGTTGGGCTACAACTCCTACCAGCCTCGGTCAGAAATGCTGGGGGCTGAAGCACCTGGAGTTGGGGAAGGTTATGCTATGTTACTTGTTGGCTTTTGGGGGGTGGGGGTGGGAGTCAATTTCTTTCCACCAGGACTGCATGTGGAGAGGGGAGGTTGGAACCCCTCTCAATAATGGAGGTTCTTTCCTTTCTTCTGTTTTTAGGTGCGGTGCAGAGGGGGAGGATCCCACCATGACTTAAATATATGGACTCATACACTGGTAAGTATTCCTGTGGAGGACCTGAGGGCAAGGATCTGGCCCATTTGCTAATCATCTCTTAATTCATATCCAAAGACAACCCCAACCAGCTTTAAAAGACTGGGCCCACTGGGCTGCCTAGTCAAAGGCAAACCTGCTGTGAGGTATAATGTGCTAAAGCCAGCTCCTGTTCTGAGAAACGGCAATTAAGACAGCGAAAGGAGAGTTATCCATGCCATGCCACCCCTGACTGATAGGCAGCAAGCTGAACTAAGGCACATGAGTCTAAATCACTTGATCAAAGTCATAAGTGGGAATCAATCAGTCACTGTAAGGTGATTCCTGAAAGTTTACCCCACCCAGGAAACACAGGTTCATCCTTCTTTCTTTTGTAGGATTCACAAATCCTCATTCCTGTGAAAACACAACAATTATCTCCACCCCTAACCATTACCCTAGCATGACCCAAGTACAATTTATTAGTGCCAAGGAAGCTGGATCTCTTGTACTCTTTGTTTGCACTGTGACAAATGGAATTCTGTTTGCTTGATGGAGATTTTAATGACGCCAAAAGGATCTAACTTGCTTGCCATCCATACAAAGGATGATTCATTGTGCTGGGTTGGCCCACTGGAATTTGCAGCAATGGGAGCAATTAAAATGCAGCAATGTGCATTCATAATACTTTCGGTCCCACAGTAAGCATGCCATTGCACTGGAATGTGGCGGGCTTTGTAAGGCTCAATCTAGCTGTTAGGAAACAGGAAGACAAATGAGTCCCTTTTCTTGGCACTTATCCCCAGGACAATGTAGGAGAAACCAGAATTGTAGGGGATGAGCCAGCAGGGTTCCCATCTATCTCCAGCAGCTACACCATCCACTTCAAACTATTTGTGTTCCTGGTGCACCTCATATGCAACTCATATGCCCCTAACAAAGGAAATCCAAGGTCACCTGCAATATTGCTTAGTGATTTTTCATCCTACAAGCAACTCACCTATCCTTCCTCACACTCAAATTATTGAAGTATCTGTTCTCTTCCTGTATCTTTAATAAGCAAGTGCTCATTATTATATGCAAGCCTTGTAATGTCCTGAGGCTCAGCAAGTCCTGAGGCTCAGTACATATCATGTAGCAGGCTGTTATAAAGAAGACAATGATGACATTAGTTTCACATTATGGGATCCAGGCAAGATTTTGGTCCTTTTAAGAAGCTGCAAGCAGATTTGAGTAACTAATTCTGCAGTACATTATTTCCTATCTGATTTTTACTGCATCCTGGGATACCCTGATAACCTACACCAGGGAAAGAAATATTGAGAAGAGGCATCAACAAAGCGGGATCTGGTGGTGTGTGTGAGAGAAGCCCTCTTCAGGCATTCTCAGGGCAGATCACAGATCCTCTGAGCTGCTTCATGGTGGCAAGACTTCCCAGATCCTACCAATGTACAGTGCTCTGAAACTTCCCCTGTGTTTTGAGTTTCACTCAGTAGGCAGAGAAGCTGCTTACCAACAAATTGAACAAAGTCCATTCTGCAGCCCTTGGAGGAAGGAACAACCATTCTCCCTAATCACAACAGCCAGCATATAAGGGACTCACTCTGCTACACTACTTTCTCATGCAGAAAACAGGAAGGGTATTCTTTTCCTGCTGGCATTAATAGGATGATAAAAGGGATAGTACAGGACTCCCCTTCTTTGCCTGCATGGCATATGCACTAAATTAATGTTTGATGGGAGAATCAGTCAATATATTCACCCATATATAAAAGTTTGAGGGTGTAAAGAAAAAGTGTTTCTAAAAAACAACTACACATAGCTCTGATCTGATTTGCCCACTATACCCTCTGTTCCAGGAGCTGCGTTTAATGTTTTTTTTTAAGTAACAGATGCTCTGATTGTGGTTCTCTAGATATCTGATCAAGTTTGGGACATGGAGAGCCTTTCCCAAAGGTTTCAGGATCACACTCCATATGTTGAAGCACAAAACGCTTGAAAAATGGTGTATGTGCATGGATGGGATAAGAAGCGTAAAAAAATTAGGCTTGGCCAATTCACCCGAAGAGATACTGTGAGGTCAAGAAAAGTAGTTACGCTCACCAGATAACATATCTATCATGCAAATTGCTGCCCTCAGATGCAGGCCTCATAGATCTTTTCTGCCTCTTTATTTGCAAGATGAAATACATTGTTATTCTGTGTATTCCTCAAAGGCGACAAGGAAGCTTCATTGGGTAGGTATAAATCAAGACATTCTGGCTAAAAGATTGTCACAGCACCCAAAGAGGCAACTGACCTCCATATAAATCAATGTGTTTCTTTACCACAAGTTGTAATAATTTGGCCGACTGCTGGCCTCGAGGTATGATTTAGCTAACAAATTTCAGTGTTATAACCCAGGTGTCTTTTAAGTGACCATAATGCATGGGCACCTTACACTTCTCAGCAATTTCACGTTTATTTTATTATCCATCAGCTTTATGCTGAGACACTGGAAGCCTTCAGTTGGATCTTTCTGTATTAATTCTTTGAATGGGTCTGTAATGCCTGGTGCATATGAAAGAGATTGTGGAGATAACGTGCCTCTTTGAGCCGTTTTTCAGTCTTTTAACTTCTTACCTCAAGACCAGGATCCAAGAGAGTGGAGTTATACAAGGAGGGGGGGTTTTCAGTATCAAAAGAACAGAACAACACTGTGCAGGACTCACCACAATCACTTGTACTGGCTAGCTGTTAGGCACCTTGGAAATCTTGTGACGGTTAAGAAAGATGAGTGACCTGCATAGAATGAAACATCAATAGTCAATATTACTTATCATTTCTCTTTGCAACCTCCTAGAATTCACATCCAGCTGGGTCATTTAAATCTGCATTCCACAACCCGTATCACTGAGTAAGAAAATGTATATAAATATAACAGGGCATAGCCAATGTGCTATAGAAGCGTTTCTGCAAGAGCAAAGCAAGGAACCCTGTGTTCATCAATCTCTACTATGCCACATCCCAAACCATTCCAGAGGGTCCCCTAAACCTCAGTAGAGGTTTTCGAGGGCACTGGGCTGAAGTGCATAGGAGAGATTGGCAAAAATCAAGTGATCTATCTTCCCCAAGTAGAAGTGCTTTCAATGGGGCAAAGCCACTGTGGGGTGCAACACATCTCTATCCTACAACAGAGCTCAAGTTGGTATACATGAGGTTGCCAAGTGAACTTGCAACCAGCCCCAGAGCTGCTTAGCTTCAGCAAGGTGGAGGCATCAGTTTCCTTCAAAATGTAGCCCTGGTTTCATAGAAATGTTCAGTTTTACTCAGATGAGTTGTTTGTAGAAGCACTACTGTAAAATAGGCAGCAACCTTTTGGAGGAGCCATGAATAAACTGGATTTCTTACTGAATCAGTAGGTGGACAAATTAAATACAGGGCAAGGAAATTTAGTTAAGGTCTAAAACAATGCAAAAGTAATTTTAAATACAGGCTGGAAGCAATTCTGGCATGCAAAGGTAATTCAGCAGCAACACATTTTCACTTATTTGTAGACTTTTAATCCAGATTGTATTCATGCATTTATCCACCCCACAGTGACACACTTCCACTCCAGGAAGGATGTGGCATTTGTGGGAGGAAAAATGGCATCATGAAACAGAGAGAGATTATTTTTAAAATTTTCAATTGCATTCAACTTGATCCTACATAAATTGCTCAGAAACAGGTGTGGCAAAAATGTCGGTTTCAGTTTCTCATTTTTCTGGTCCTAAGTTCAGATGACATTTCCACATCAACTTGCATTTAAAAAACAAAACAAAAAACAACATTCCTCGTGAAAATTCATTTAGCGAGCACTTTTCCTGATATAAACCTTGTTGCAAGTAATTTCCCCTAACACATTTTTGTGTGTTATTTTCACTAACGTATATATTTGCCCATAATATATATCCATCACTGGGCCCATTTTTTGGTTGGAGAACTGTACTGCAACATTCAGGGAAGTGTGAATGCCAAAGGACAGCTGTGTTTCTGTTTGCACATTGTTTCAGGGAGTGCAAATTAGGTAGGTTTATTTGCAAGCGTGAGCTGAATTTTTCTCCCATCCATACTCAAAAGTAAACCCTACTGAATTCTGTGTATCTTCCTTTCAAGTAAGAGTGCAGAGAGTTTCAACCTTACAATGCAATGCTATACATGTAAGTCTTCTCTGGTGTAACTGCAGTTTGACTGAATCATGGTGTAATATCCTGTTTCTGAACAAACTGTGCTTTGAACAAACTAGTTTACTATACTCAGATGCCAGAATAAGCTGTAGAAGGATTAAATTTAAACTTTATCCCCTCATATGTGGAGGAAAGGGGAAGGCAGAGAACACAAGCCTAAGGCTCACACCTGCCACCAGTCCTCATAATGCTAAAACATGGTTTACTGTTACATATGAACAAGGTCTAACAATACAATCCTGAGTCTGGTTGGACACCAGATAATTACAGGGTAGTTCTGCAGCGGTTTGATCCAGGTTCAGTTGGTGTATACAGCCAAGGAAATAAAGGATCCAGTTCTAAAGACTGAGCTACTATTTGTGATTAAAGGCAGCAAAGAATTTTAAACATGGACTGCTACATGCAGACTCATTAATACTTCACCTGCTCAGGGACCCAATTTCAATGCCCTTCACTAATCATCATTCAGGAGAGACTATCCACTAACTCAGAGAAGGCAACAAAACACTCCACCTCAGCACACTGAAAAACCTAATTCTGGAAGAAAATATAATCCACTCAAAAATATCATTGCTACTTGGCTTGGTTCAATAGCTTTGGCCTCCTCTGGACAGTAGAACATTCAGCAGCAAAAGATAAAAGTAGCAATAAAAGTAGCTCGCTTCAGAGACCTGCACAAAATTATTAGTGTACCAAGTCACGCTGTATTGAAGTGTGCAAAAAGAAGCATGTTTACAGTTGTCTTTTGCAGAGATGAAAAGTAATACAATGGAATGGGACAACTGGTCATTAAAGATACTTCCACTGCATATAAATTGCTACACAATATTCAAGGCCAGAGAGAGGGAATAGAATGTAATGTAAAATATACATTAGCCTGGTCCTCACAAAACGCTAAACCATGGTAAATAAAACTGTGGCTTATTAAATTATGGTTTAGTGTTATGTGTGAACCTTGCCCAGTAGCTTAAATATGTTTTGTTTGCTTACTGCCAACAAACCACAATGTGAAACCATGTTTTGTTGTTGGCTTATGAACTTTGATTTGTTTTAACTATAGCTTTGCATTACATGGGAATCTAGATCCCTTTCTTAACTATGTTGTTTTTTTACCACTGCATGCCAAGTGGTCACCAAACCACAAAAGACACAAGGCAAGAATACCGGGGGGAAACACAACAAAGTTTGAGAAACAAGGCATGGTTTGTTTGATCATCTGTGGGAAAACTCATGGTTAACTCATGGCTTGTTAAGCAAACGATAGTTTAGCATTAGGTGCAAACCAGGCCAATGTCACCCATACAGTACATACTCATTTTTTGTGCTATCTTCTGCAGTACAAACAAGTTTTTGAAGCAACGTCTACAAATACTACATGCCGAATTCATATATAATTAAATAAGCCAATGATATTTTCTAGAATATGTTCTGGTTTTTTTAAAAAAATAAAGATTTATTTAAAACATGTATAGGCAACCTTTCTAGGTCAAACCTCTGGGGGTAGCTTCCAATATGCAAACTGCCACAAAAATTACCCACAAACCAGCACTAACAAGAAAACATTAAAACCAGCATAGCAGCACAAAGACAAATGACTAATAGCTAAAACACAACTCAACCAAGCAGCAGCCCAATTAAAACTTGTGCAAAGGTAGTTTTAAACAAGTGAGTCCTTGATGCCCTCTTAAAGTTCTGCAACAAGTGGCAATAATTCAGTGAAATCTTTAGGTTGTCATCATTGCAAGACTGCATTCTACCTTCTGCCCAACAGGTGACCACCAATTAGGAGCTTTAGGATTGAATGCCTTGACATACTGCATACTGCTCTTGGGTTCATGCTCTGCTTGCTGGCTTCCCATGGGTCACTGTGACAACAGGATGCTGGACTAGATGAACCATGGCTAGATGGTTTGTTTCAGCAGGCTCTTCTTACCTGATCATGAAACTGAATGCAGTGCATCTGATTATCACCTACACAGTTCATCCCCACTGCTTGATGGGGGGACACTTGTAGGATCAGCGCAAATTATGCAGTGTGCACCACTGCCTTCTCACTTTTCCTGTGGAGGTGGTCCAGGAATGAGAACATGCTTTCCAATGAATGTCCCCTACAGGTACAGCCCAAACCCAGAAATGCCCAATTGCGTGGCCAGTTTGACAAAGGAAAAGCAGCAGCAGAGAAATGATTTTCTGCATAGGAAGAATACAAAGGCAATATTTTCCTCAGATATTTGCAAGCAAGTAGGAGAAGCACTGCCTGACCCTGTAACCCGATGGAAGCCGTCACTGTGTCACAAATGGAAGTGGATGACAGAAAGTCAGAAAGAGGTCACCAGTGGACACAAAGGTCCTTTCATTCAAAGCTTCTCTGCTTTATAAACAGAAGCTTCTTCGGTACTTTTCGTTTTCACTGCACATGATTCTAATTCTTAACAGCCTTGTCTGTGTCTTCATTTCTTAGAGGAGAGGAGCGCTGAGCCCAAGGGCTGAACTAAACTTTTAGAAAGAAAGGCCCCATCTGCACTATACATATAAAGCAGTATCGTGCCATTTTAAACAGCCATGACTTCCCCCAAAGAATCCTGAGAGCAGTAATTTGCTAAGGGTGTAGAGAGTTGTCAGGAGACCCCATTCCCCTCACAGAGTTACCTTTCCTGGGAATTGTTGGGGGAACCCAAAAACTGGCTTAGGGGCCACATGGGAGCAGGAGATGGAAAAGGGGGAAGTCCCATTGTGTGAACGGACCACGTTCTCCTCTCGCATGCCCCATTCAGCACTACATTGAGTTCCACACACAGGAACACAAGGGCTTTTTCTTTTGGATTCACATTACAAACTCGTTTAAGCAAAACCCTGCTCTGTGCTGCAGTGCAGAAAAACAGAAACCAGTATTAGAACCGAGGCCAGTGGTCATGTTAAACCAGCACTTAGCACATGGCTGGCACTGCATAAATGTTAACAGTTTTGCCAGTACACCAAGCAGGCTTCCAGGTAGGTGACCTATCAGACTTTTGGGAGGGCATTAATCCTTAAACTGAAACATTTTGTGTTCTGGCATTTGCAGCTGGGATTCAAGCTCATTAGGCTTGTTTTGCATGCCTATAAATAGTCCAGGTTGCCAGTTTTGTAAAGTTTAAACAGCTATTTTAAGTCCAATAGGTTCAAGGTTACCGGTTTCTGAACCTTAGTTCCTATGATTCACCATGGAAATGTTTTCCTTATCTGCTTTTCATTAAGCAGCTCCAAACAGCACACTAGCTATTGAGCAGGCCTGTCTGCTTCGGCTTTTACCCTGCAACTTCTACACAGATCTTCTGGTCCCACCTTAGATGCACAGTGTGGAGACAAAGTGTTCATTGAGAGAGTGAGATGGTTTGCACATAACAAATGCTAAGTCAAACTATGGCTTGGTGCATATGTGCAAACATGAGGGTTCTAGAGAGATTCACATTGCTGTGCTCCTCTGCCAGTCCTTTTTCTGCTGCACTGCAGCTGAGCATAGCAATGGTTTGATGTCATATGTTGTCTGAAATCAGATTCATAGTTTGTCTCCTCCAGACAAACCATAAACTG